ACCTGCACAAGAAACGGCACACGGGGGAGGCCAAATACCGCTGCGACGACTGCGGCAAGCTCTTCACCACCTCCGGCAACCTCAAACGGCATCAGCTGGTCCACAGCGGGGAGAAACCGTACCAGTGCGACTACTGCGGGCGCTCCTTCTCCGATCCCACCTCTAAAATGCGGCACCTGGAGACCCACGACACCGACAAGGAGCACAAGTGTCCCCACTGCGACAAGAAATTCAACCAGGTGAGTTGGGGGGAGGGAAGAGCCAGACCCATGGTGATTTGCATCCCTCCAGAGGGAGATGGGGGGTGATGTGGGGCAGAGAGGGCTCTCTGCATCCCTCTATCTGCCCCCAGGTGGGGAACTTGAAGGCTCATTTGAAGATTCACATCGCGGACGGGCCTCTGAAGTGTCGGGAGTGCGGCAAACAGTTCACCACTTCAGGTAGCACGGGGTTGGTAGGTGGTGATCCAGCTTTCGGAGACGGAGACGTCTCCTCTCATCTCCCCAAACCGCTGCAGCGCCAGAGGGGTCTGGGCGAGCCCCACAAAAATGGGATGCTTATCCTGGCTGGCCCCACCACCACATTAGCGCCCGATCCTGGGCTCGGGGAATTGGCGGTGCAACGCTCCCGCGTGGTCCCTGCTCCGTAAATAGCGACGGGCTTTCCCCAGGGATGGAGGGAGGGTGCTGGCGTCCCCGTACCCCGCCCCGGGCTAAGCCTCGTCTGCTCTCAGGCAACCTGAAACGACACCTCCGGATCCACAGCGGGGAGAAACCCTACGTCTGCGTCCACTGCCAGCGCCAGTTCGCTGACCCCGGGGCGCTGCAGCGACACGTCCGCATCCATACCGGTAGGGCTGCAGCTCTGTCACCGCCGCGTCCTTTTTGGGGAGCCTGCGTGCTCCCCTGTCCCCGGGTGGATGATCCTCACACACCCTTCTCTGTTCTTTCCCAGGAGAGAAGCCGTGTCAGTGCTTGATCTGCGGGAAAGCCTTCACCCAGGCGAGCTCCCTCATCGCCCACGTGCGCCAGCACACGGGGGAGAAGCCCTACGTCTGTGAACGCTGCGGCAAGAGGTGAGGGTTCACCCCATGAATTTTGGGGGGCACCTCCACCCAGCCGTGGAGGGTGGGTGGGTGGAGGTGCCAGGGTGTCCTCGCTTGGGGACGAGGGAGGGTGGTGACCCCTGTGTCCCCTTTCGCTCAAGGTTTGTGCAGTCAAGCCAATTAGCCAACCACATCCGCCACCACGATAATATCCGACCCCACAAATGCACCGTCTGCAACAAAGCCTTCGTCAACGTGGGCGACCTCTCCAAACACATCATCATCCACACCGGTGGGTTTCCCCGGCAGCCCCCCGAATCTTTGTTAACCACCCATCCCCCTCAAATCTTCCACCGCCCCCCAATTCCTCATCTTGTCCCTGCCCCAGGGGGAAAAGCCGTTCCTGGGCGACAAGTGCGGCCGCGGCTTCAACCGGGTGGACAACCTGCGTTCCCACGTGAAGACAGTGCACCAGGGCAAGGCGGGCATCAAGATCCTCGAGCCCGAGGAAGGCGACGAGGTCAACATCGTCACGGTGGCTTCTGATGACATGGTGACGTTGGCCACCGAGGCGCTAGCTGCCACCGCTGTCACGCAGCTCACGGGTGAGCTGGGGGGTCCGGGAATCCTCCCGAAAGTGTGGCTTATCCCTGGGGTGCAGCTTGGGGATCCCAGAGCCCTCCCAAA